GTAGGACTTAAACCATTGCAACAACTGAGCCCCGGATGCCAACGTTATGCTCTAGGCGGGATAAAAGAATCTGATGGTCCACCGTATCAAAGGCCGCCGTTAGGTCTAAAAGGATCAATACAGCTGATTGACCGGAATCGATAGTTAGAAATATATCGTTAAATATTCTTAAAAGAGCAGTCTCTGTACTGTGATATCGCTTAAAACCTGATTGAAACTTCTCTAAAATACCATAATGGTCGAGGTAGTCCTGCAGCTGCCTGTAGACAATTTTCTCCATGACCTTGGAAAGGAAAGGGATAGTTGGAGAGCACCATGGGATCGAGATTAAGTTTAAGAGCTGGACATCATCAGTCTTTCAGGTAATTTCTGGTGTCTTTCATCATGTAAACACGCCTGTATGCTCCAGACCAGACAGGTGATGATCAGTTAATCAGCTCTGAACCTCTGAAATCGTCTGGATGCAGCAAAGATGGGCCTGGATTTGGACAAATATCACATCTGTTCCGATACGCAAAACCCTAGAAATTCATTTGTGAAGGTCACAGTTTTAATTGAGACTTTCATTGCCTGTTAATCTTGTGATCTGTGATTTGCCGCTCCTCCATCCCCGCCATGCCGTTGGAAGCCATTTAAAACCACTCTCACTCGTTTTAACACCGGATTATTTTGACCTCATTAAAATCTTCACATTCAGAAAACTGCAGAATTCCCAAACATTCTGATCAGTTATAACTTTAAAAAGTCACGTTTATTTTCATATTTTGACTTTAGAGAATCTGATTTCCACGTCTTGAATTGAACTCATGATGTTGAAAAACAGTCAAACACGTTTTTCTGCTGAAACAGTGAATAAAATATGAGAATGATAAAAGTCGGATAACGTGGCGTTGCATCAGGTCATTATAGTTTTAGGAGTTTTTTTCACCATGTCAGAGTGAGGTTATCTCAGCTTGAGCCTGTGATGCGAACCTGGCGTCATCACCAAGGGATCTAAGTGTTTAACGGCATTATGGGAAACGTAGGATCCAGGGCTTGGATTTGGATATCTTTGCCTTTATAGTGAGGATTTTGATCAGCCGTCCTGCCTTTTATTGAATTTAGGTTTTAAAAAAAGAAAAGTAGAAAATATTCTCTCCTTGCACCTTTTATTCCCCTCTTGATGCATCATTTTATAAAATCCTCCAGACTGGTAATCCAGACTTTCTTTTGCATATTGTGCTTTCAAACCCAGAATAAGAATCACCTGATCAGTGATTTTTGCGGATTTGAACCCACATGTCATGAGTTCTCCTTCTGTCGCACCATTTACTCTGTTCTGTTGAAAGTAAGCATTCACAAATTTATTACAATAACCTCTATTTCCACTTTTTGAAGCCAGACTCTTCGTTTTCAGACTTTCTGAGACAACTGTCTCCTTGAACTTCGAAGACGAATGTTTTCTTAAAACGAGACAAACCTTTGGGGTAATCTAAAGTCTTCCTTTGCTAGCTGCCGCCTCCTCGTTCCTCTCCCTGGTGAATGAAGCTCAGTATCTCATGATCAGCCGCGCCAGCGTGGAGCTCATTCAGAACCTAATGAGCAGCAGGTTTGAATGTGAAATGTTGCTGCAGGATGCTCCCACATCCACACATTTACATTACACTGGCTCATTTGTGCAGCACAGCTAAACAACGTGCAATTTCCCCTCCTCCCCCCCCCCCCCCCTCAGGCAGGATGGCTGCGAGGGCGATCAGCTCCTTGACACACAGAGTGCCATTAAGCGCTTCCGTGCCAATTTAGTCATCGCTGGAGCAGAACCATTCGAGGAGGATAATTGGTCACACTTGATTATTGGCAACACTCGATTCACGGTGAGCGTCGGCTTTGAGACGAACAACAAAAGCATCTTTAAAAGCTGATGAAGGCGTTTTGTTTTAAACGTGCTCTCTGTGTGATTCAACTCAAAGGTTGCAGGTCCGTGTGGGAGATGCCAGATGATTGGAATAGACCAGGACACCGGGACCAGGACTAAAGAGCCACTCGTTACCCTGTCTGCCCATCGGAGCGGGAAGGTTGGTCAGCTGTTTGTGTGTGTGAGCAGGAAACACACACACGCACGTCTAAGACAAACGTTTCATTTGCTTGTTTTGTGTGTGTTTAGGTGACTTTTGGTGTGTACCTGACTCACCAGGCTCCTGAGGACTTTGTGAGCGTCCTCTCTGTCGGTTCCGTCGTACAGATGGAGTCACACGATCACTAGTTGGTCACCTGTGACACTTATTTATTTCAGTGACAGCCTTTGACTCCTACAGGCTCCCTCTCCTCTGCTCATGGACGTAATTTTGGGGGGGGGACAGGGGGGACATGCCCCCCCCCCCCCTCCCACACACACTTTTTCCAAAGTCAAGTTTTGACCCCTGTACTTTTTACCATCCAAAAACAATATTACGCTATGTTAAATGGACACTGGTTGAGCTCTAGGACCAAGCAGAAAACAACCGTTTGTGTTGAAGCCTGTTTCCTATTAGAGCATACTGTAAAGATACCCCCCCACGTGTCCCCCCCACTTCTAAAGTGAAAATTACGTCCATGCCTCTGCTCGTTCCAAAAACACACTTTTGTGCTTCGGCCTTGTGCTTCTATGAAAAACCGAGACAATAGTGTCACTAATTTGCTCATTTCAGTCAGGATCTCGCCGGGCTACAAACTGCTGGTGACAACTGGACAAACACTGTCAACAAGTTAGTTTCCCAAAAGTCTTCTCGGGGTGTCGCTGGACTTTCGTACGGGTTCTAAACGTTTGCCGGATTTCTCCTACTGATCACACCTGCAAATCCCATACTCGAGCATAAATGGTCTCAACAGCAGGGCCCTACGCGTCGTTGGAAATGTCCTTTAACTTTGAGGCGTGAGTGCTGCAGCTTTGTGTACTTCACACAACAGTCATGAACCTGGCTCAACAAAACCGAACAAATCTCATGCAAACCCTACAGCTGCACCTGTTGTGGCACCTTTATAGAGCAAGTCACCTCCTATTAGAGTCTAACTCCACCCCCAGCAGGTCCCTGAGGTCCAGTGATCAAAGCCTACTGCTTGTGCAGCACCAGGCTAAAGACCAAAGGTGACAGATCATCTGCTGCTGTGGCCCCCAGACTCTGGAACTCTCTCCCCCTGAGCCTGAGATCAGTGGACTCAGTGGTCTCCTTTAAAAAGCAGCTGAAGACTCACTTGTTCAGGCTCTGGTGTGACCTTCATCACCCTCTCCTTGTCTGCTCTCCCTACCTATTCCACCTTCCTCAGGATCCACTGATTTCCCTCTTTCCTATTCACTCTCTCTCTCTTTCTTTATATTTTTACTCACAATTGTCTATTTTTGCTCATTTTAAATATATTTTAATCATTTTCTAAATTCTTTTTTTATATTTTTACATTTTTGTGAAACGCCTCGTGATTTTTATCTTGAGAGGCTATAGAAATGATATTTTCTTCTTCTTCACGTCTCCTGTTTGAAAGATGTGCCACAAAGAGGCGGAGCCTGGAGGACAGATAAGGCAGGTCTGCCACCCCAGGTCCCCACACTCCCTACACCCACTCAGAGACTCTCGGTCAGAGCCAAGCTGCAAACAAACACACACTCTCATCTTGGATGGAGAAAAGGCAGAGCTTCCCAGATTCTTATAGCAAAGCTAGCTCCTTTGCCTCAGAGCAGTCATTTAAGGTGGAGGAGTCTCCATCTCCTTCACCAGAAGACCGAGAGAAGAAGGAAAGTTTTTTTGGAGGAGGCGAGCATCCCTGAGCCGTGTTTTTTCTAACTCGTTTCATTTCATTTTATTTATTTATAAAGCCCCTTCTGCGACCAATGCAGATGCCCAAGGTGCTGAACACAACACAATAAAAACATAAAGCCATCAGAATAAAATATAACAATTGTAAAACCAGCATGAAATCAATTAAAAGAGGAGAGTAAAAGCAAAACAGAAAATCCTGAAAAAGATTAAGAGGCCGGGGCATCGAAACTGGGTAAAATTTGCTAATCCTGGAATGCCTTGACAAAAAAATGGGTCTTAAGGCGAGTCTTAAAAAACCCCCAATGAGGGTGACCGACGCACCACCAAAGGCAACTGGTTCCAAAGTGCAGGTGCCAACACAGAGAACGCACGGTCCCCCCGTGACCTGCACTTAGTGCGTGGAACGATCAACAGCTCCCTGCCGGCTGAGCGAAGGGCCCGCGAGGGGGCGTGTCTATGCAAAAGGATGCCAAGATATGCTGGAGCAGTTCCGTGTAAGGCCTTGTATGCCAGCACCAAGACCTTGAATTTTGCCCTGTATTGCACAGGCAGCCAGTGAACGGATGCCAACACAGGGGTGATATGCTCCCTGCGCCTAGTGCCTGTCACGAACCTACTGGCTAAGTTTTGTACTAACTGCAAGCGTGCTACCGCACCCTGACTAAGGCCGGCATACAGTGCATTGCAGTAGTCAAGCCTTGAAAGAACAAAAGCGTGTGTGACAGTCTCTAGATGTACTCTGGACAGCAGGGGCTTAATTCTGGCTAGTCGGCGTAAGTTAAAAAAACCCGATTGCACAACCTGGTTGATTTGCGTGGTGAATTTAAGGGCTGAGTCCAGTTGCACTCCCAAATTTCAGATGGTGGTTTTCATGTTAGATGCTAAAGGGCCGAGATTCACAGCATCGCATGGGCGTGTAGACATGCCAGGGCTAAGTACAATTACTTCAGTCTTAGCGTCATTCAGATGTAAAAAGTTTGTAGCCATCCAGGAGCGCACATCCTCTAAAGCCGGGCGTACACTGTGCGACTTTTTCACTTTTTTGAGCCGATTTTCCAGTCGTGCGAGAATCCACGACATCGGGGCGAGTTTTGCGCCGAGCGTCGTGTAGTGTACAGGGGGTTACGAGAGGCGATTAACACCACGTGACCAGCTACCGATCAGCAGTCGTGAGCTCGCACAAACTTCTGGCGTGTTTGATATTTCGCTCGTCCCTCGTGAGGGTATCGCGCTGTTGAAGCGGCACTGCGAGCAGCTGCGACCCAAAAAGTATCAGAACCGCTCACGGCGCATGCGCAATCATGCATCAACACCGCTCGCCCGCTATTTCCCTAATAACACACGCTGTTCGTTTTTATTTCTACACGTGTTTTTACTCACAAAGATTGTCAAGAAAGCGTGTTTGTCGTGTTCATGTCAAATTAAACTGATCACAAAACACAGATTTACTTTCTTTATTTCGTTTTCCTCATCCAACCCCCATAAATCCCTGTGTGTCCTCCTGCAGCGCTCCCGAAGGACAACAGGCAAAACAAAAAAGTCTGACGTGTTGAGTAAAAACTGCTATTTTTAGCACATTTTTAGGGCCGACGTGTTGCTACCAGATGTACAGTGTGAGCAGTCAGGTCGCGTCCGAGAACTGGGTCGTACAGTGTGAGCGCATGGCTCGTGAGATCTGCCCTGCGAGGAAGTCGTACAGTTTGAGCTGAAGCTGAGTGCTACGAGTGAAAAAGTTGCACAGTGTCCGCCCGGCTTAAGGCATCTACAAGCTTTGATATTGACCCATCGACCCTCCGCTGAAGGGGGAGGCAGATCTGGCAGTCGCCAGAATAAAAATGAAAACGCATGCCGAACCGCCGAAGAAGATTCCCCAACGGTAGTAAGGTGCTCGAAGCCATCGTGCCGAGCCGTAAACTCTTGCTTGTTATTCGTACTCCGACTTGCTACGGAGGAGTAGCCAAGCTCGTGATTCAGCTGCATTTATACCCAACAGCAGTGCAGCTAACATCACATCGTATAAGTTACTGCTGTGGCCGATTCTAATTCAGATGTAGTGTGGAGTTTTAGCCTGTAGAGGGCACCACACTGACAGTTTTAGGCTGAATGTTTACATTTTAAATCAGATGCACTAAAATGCCAAAAAATGACTACAGGTGTCTACAGCATCATCTGACACTCATTGAAACAGTTGATCAGCAAAAACAAGTAGTTTAGGGGTGACTTGCTCTTTCAGTGTAACAGAACATCATTTCTGGTTTTTCCTACTCATTAAAAGCTGCAGATCAGGGACTTATTCCTTTTTGTTTTTGGTTTATTTAGCACAAACGTATTAGCTGCTGCTGCAAAATTACAGCCGAGACCAAATATCTCAAGAACAAAGATACTTTTACTCTAACCACTAGGTGCACTATTATTATTTTTCACAGCAGTGTGTTGTAAACTTACCTTAGTTGATCCCAGTACAATCTGTTTATTCACAAGAAAGGATGAAAGTGAGAAATTGTTTTCCATAATCTGTTCTATGCAATTAAGCAAATGTTCTTCTTGATTTATGTTGTGAATTACATTTTTATTTATTAAAACTCTTGATGCAATAAACATGAACCTGTGCCTCTCGTGTCTGTTTCTGCTCAGGTTTAAAGTTATTTTTCTACGGATATTACCGCCGCTACAGGTCCACAGGTGTAAGAGCTCAGTGTGAAGGGAAATCTAAGAAACTGCAAACGCTCTGAAAATACCATTTACTCTGGCTTCATCTACTGAAGACCATGTTTTGGGTCAGGACGAGTTCTGATTGTTGTTTGTAAGAATAAAGCAGATGGAGTTTGACTCCATTCAGATAGTTTGAATACTCACTGGCCTCTTTATTAGGTACACCATTCTAGCATCATGCTGGACCCCTCTTTCAATCAATCAAAGCTTAAAGCGCCTTCTGCGACCCTGTCGGGAAGTCCAAGGCGCTGAAAGAAGAGGTAAAAACATTAAAGTAGAAAACAAATGGGTAAACAAGAGATAAAGAGACCAATGAAAGCAGAGATTTAAAATCAACATGAATGAAGGCCTAACTCAAACACGTTCAGGGAACGCCCAGCGGAGGAGGTGGGTTTTTAGGCGACTCTTAAAGACTTGCAGAGATGGGGATAGCCTGACTGAGGGTGGCAACTGGTTCCAGAGTGACGATGCTAGGACCGAGAAAGCCCGGTCCCCGCGAGTACGACACCTAGAACGAGGGACAGCGAGCAGGCCTTGGTCAGAGGAGCGCAGAGCGCGTGATGGGGAATGTCTGTTCAGGAGAGTGGCCAGATGGGGGGAGCACCACCCTGGAAGAAATTATAAACAAAGACGAGGAGTTTAAAGTGTGAATGATAACAGACCGGAAGCCAGTTCAGGGAGGCCAGAACCGGACTGATGTGGTCCCGTTTCCTGGTCCGGAACCTGGCTGCGCTGTTCTGCACAACCTGTAGGCGACGCAGTGATGACTGACCCAGTCCGGCATATAGAGAGTTGCAGTAATCAAGCCTAGAAATTACTAAAGCATGGAGTACCCGCTCCAGGTGGGCTCTCAACAGCATATGCTTGATTTTTGCAAGGCGTCTCAGATGAAAGAAACTGGAGCAGATCACAGAATTGATGTGAGCATCAAATTTAAGTCCAGCGTCAATTTTCGCCCCCAAACTGGAGACAACTGGTTTTGAGTAGGGAGAAAGAGGGCCAAGATCAACATAACACACAGCCCTATCGGGGTGAAAAACAATGAGCTCTGTCTTTCCCTCATCCAGGTGCAGATAGTTGGCCATTAGCCAAGACTTCACCTCAAAGACAGGACACAAAGGACTGGATAGAGAGACCTTTCTCCTGACACAATGGAGAGTAAATCTGACAATCGTCAGCATAGAGATGGAACGCTAGGCCATGTTTACGAAAGATTGACCCTAGAGGAAGCGTCCCAGAGGACCCCTTTTGTCCTCAGAACTGCCGCTGATGGAACACTCGGAGGTTCTGGTCCATCCTGAGTTGACACGACAGCATCAGCTCCATCCATGATGAGAAGCTGCCGTTCCACCACATCCCAAAAGTTTTGGACTGGACTGAAATCTGGTGACTGTGGAGGCTGCTGGAGTCCAGTGGAACCATGGTAATGTTCTAGAATCCAGTTAGAGATGATCTGAGCTTTGTGACACGATGCATGATCCTGCTGGTAGCAGCATCAAAAGATGGGTCCATGTGGTCATAAAGAGATGGGCATGATCAGCAACAAGACTCTAGCCTAGTGAACGAGACCAAATTCTTGCTTTGCAAAGTTAATAATAAAGTAAATAATACATTTAGTCTGGCTTGCCAGGCTAACAAGACTCATGTAGACTGTGGGTTGTAAACCAGGCGTCCAGAGTGAGACCAGAACCACCCACCGCCATTTACCACCAGCAACAACCTGAAGTGTTGATACAAGGCAGGATAGATCCATGCTTTCATGTCGGTGACACCAAATTCTGATACAACTGATATCCAGACTTATCAGACCAGGAAAGGTTTGTCCGGTACCTTGTACCGTTCTGGTGGTCCTGTGTGAACATAGCCTCAGTGTCCTGTTCTTAGCCAACAGGAGAGACACCTGGTGTGGTCTTCTGTTGCTGAAGTCCAGCTGGTTTGGCTCTGCAGATCTGGGTAGGAACCAGTCTGACCGTTCTCTGTAAACCCTGTGTGTGTGTGTGTGTGTGTGTGTGTGTGTGTGTGTGTGTGTGTGTGTGTGTGTGTGTGCGTGTGTGTGTGTGTGTGTGTGTGTGTGTGTGTGTGTGTGTGTGCGTGCGTGCGTGCATGCGTGCACTTTTGAAGGAGTCAAACCCCTTTTTCTCACTCAGCAGTCCTTAGTGAGTTATTAACTTGGATGTTGTTCCTGTTATTGGTGTCAACCTATTCCATATTTTACAAGTTTCTCTCTTTTGGCTTGTAACGTTAAAGTTTTTTTCCCCTTATTATTTTGGATAAATTTCACAAACTAGTCTAAACTTTACAGACAGATGTTGGTGCAATTTTAAGGTAGCTCCAGATCTACCTTTTGTATGCATTGCAATATTTAGATAACGTGTGGATGAAATGATGCTACCTTAAAAATCTTGGTACCTCCTCCTGCGCGAGAGGGGAATTCTACTTTGAAATCAGAGCAGAGGAAAGGTGGACTTAGGTGGTCAAAGTCCCAAACGGCAAGCCTTTAGCATCACTAGTGTTGATGCGCTGTAGTTTGTTTTGTTTGCAGAGTTTTACAGACGTTAAACCATGAAGAGAAGGGTCGTGAAACCGAGCCCGTCCTCCGAAACGAGCGACTTCCGGAAGGCATCTAGCAGCAGGAAGGCACCGTAAGTTAGCTAAAATCACGCATCAACTTTTTTATTTATTTAAAACTCACTGCTCTCTGGAGCTTAAACAGACTGGAATTAAAAGATGCAAGTCCATTTTTAAGTGTATATTCATTCTTTAGATTTTTTTTATAACAATGTGGTGTTCAGCAACTTTTTTGTTATTTCTCATGAAGCACTTTCCTTTTCATGTAATTCCACTGAGCATGAAGCTACAGCACTACACGTTTTAAAGTTTAGTTTGCTTGTTTATAATTAAAGTTCTGGTGAGTTTATTTAATCAGTTTTAGGAAACACGAATGGGGATGCAGGCTATGAGAACAATTAATTACTAGTAATTCTCGGGAACGTGTTGTTAAATTGGTAGCAATAACAAGACTGTGACTTGGGATGCATTTTAATTAGTTACCAATAAAAGTAGATGTTTTCTTAATTCGTAAATCTGCCTATAAATGTGTTACCCAGCTACTAACAAACATACAGTTAGATACATTTTACCTTTCATCTCGTTGATTACTTGTTCTCATAATAATTCCTTTGCCCCACAAAACTCTGAACCAACTAAAGCCAACTATTCCAAGAAAGAAATGGGAACAGATTATAGACAATATAGATCAGATAAAAAAAATGCTTGGTAAGCTTAATTTTAGATAAGTGGGAGTTGTTACCACAAATGCTAATTATTGTCGCTCCTTTGATTGATCATGAGTCTGAATGGTGTTTCAGCAGGGCATGGCCTTTTAAATTCTCATTAAACTTTTTCCATCCATCCATTTTCATCCACTTATCTGGAATTGGGTCGTGGGGCAGCAGCCTGAGAAGGGAGGCCCAGACTTTCCTCTCTCCAGCGACTTGGGCCAGCTCCTCCGGGGGAATCCCAAGGCGTTCCTTGGCCAGCCTAGAGACATAGTCCCTCCAACATGTTCTGGGTCTTCCCTTGGGTCCCACTGTGCAAAGACCAAGTTTGGATGTCCTACAGACATGGTCGGGACTGACGGACTCAATATAGACATGATCTGCACATCCATGCGACATTGACTGTTTGCAGGGGTCTCCTCCCGGATGGACGTACCTGGAAAACCTCACCAGGGAGGTGTCCAGAAGGCATCCTAACCAGATGCCCGAGCCACCTCAACTGGCTCCTGTCAATGTGGAGGAGCAGCGGGTTGCGCAGCAGTAGCTCAGGTGGTAGACCGGGTTGCCTCATGGGTCAGGGTCATGGGGTCGATTCCAGCTCCCGCCAGGGGTATTCTTCTGTCGTGTCCTTGGGCAAGACACTTCACCCAACTTGCATGTGTTGGTGGTGGTCAGAGGGGCCGACGGCGCCAAATGGCAGCCTCGCCTCCGTCAGACCGCTCCAGGGCGGCTGTGGCTACGAAGTAGCTTACCATCACTAGCAGTGTGTGATTGTGAGAGTGCATGAAAGCTTCTTTGAGTGCCCTAAACAAGCACTATATAAGTTTGATGTATTAGTATTATTATTGTTGTTGTTGTTATTTTTATTATCTTATTAATATTATTGTTATTATTATTATTATTGTTGTTGTTGTTGTTGTTGTTATCTACTCCGAGCCCCTCCCAGATGACCGAACTTCTCACACTACCTCAAAGGGAGAGCCCAGACACTGCGGAGGAAAATAATTTTGGCTGTTTGTAGCCACGATCTTGTTCACACTCCATCCAGCTTTAGAGCACTGTCTGATGGAGCCAACAGGACTACATCATCTGCAAAAAGCAACTAAAGGGGTAATGCTCAACGTGGCAGCAGAGACTGGCCTTAGACAACAAGAAACTTAGAAATGTTAACAACCACACAGCCCATACTGCCATATTTCTAAGTTTTATGGCAGCAGTTGAGATCTCTGGACTCTTAACTTTGTCCCCTGCATCTGGGGCAGAGGCCTCAGGGACTGTAATGTTTACCTTGGCAGTACTGCTCTGAAGGTGTATGCTCATGTTAGTCAAAGTGTTCACAAGTAGTTCTTACTAATTGTTCATCTTGAATCTATCAATTTGTCACGTTTATTGTTTCTTACCGGCACTCAAAGCGCTGCCGCACATGATTACAAACCCTGATAACTACAGGACAGCGCTTTGAAAGACTTCAAACTTCAGCACACTTTAACTGGAGGAAGACAGCATGCTAGCATGACACCAATAATGTGAAGGTGTTACTGCGATGGTATAAAGCCAGCACAACAAATTCTCACTGTTGTGCACGTGTGCCCTAAATCACGGATGCTCTACCACCACACGCCACCCAGGACTCAATCTGCTGCCTGATCGAGTTATTACACTTTATTATGGGTTATGGTGAGCCCAGGGCTTATTTCACACTCTCACAAAGTCCTTTAAATTTTCTGAAAACTCATTCATTGATTCATCTTCTTAACTGCTTATTCCTCACTAGAGTCACGGGCAGATGGTGTCTATAACCAGCAATCACCAGACAAAAGGCAGGGGACACCCGGGACAGGTTTTGAGTCCGTTTCTGGGAAACGCATACAGCTCTGGTGGCCGGGGTAGTGGCAGTGCAGTCCCTGAAGTTCAAACCGTAGCCCACGGTGATCTGTACGCCACACAAAAGTAGCGTGAGGTGATCTACGTGACACAAAAACACAACACAACGCAACATGAGATCGTCAGATCTCAAATAGAAGAAACTCACAAACGGCAGATGTCCAGGAGAGTGTAGGTAACACCAACCCCCTAGCCAATCAGTGATGATTTATCTGAAATTGGGCTAAATGATAGTAGCTGTGCACCAGTATCGTAGAATCAACACCACTAAATGTCACTTCTCTAAACGTTCTTCGATGTGACAGGCGTGGTGGTGTAGCCGCTCTTTTCAGAGACTCGTTCCTGGTGTGTGGCGCTTCTGACTCTTTTGAGTATCTTTGTTTTGGAGTTAAAGGTGCACCCAAGATATTGGTGTTAGTACTCCACCGGCCTCCATGGTCTTTGCAGATCTTCTCATAACTGGTGACTTTAATATTCATGCTGATGATGCTAATGGATGGGCTGCCTGAATTATTTGATCTTCAACAAAATGTCCAAAATCAAACCCACGATCTGGGACGAACTCGTGACTTAATCGTAACAAAAGATGTGGACGTGTCATGGTTGTTGTTAAGGATGTGGGTCCATCTGACCACGTCAGCGTTTTCTGAGATGTCCGTTTCACCTGCTGCACATCACACCTCAGTTGTTCTCAAAAACAGGATCTGGGTGATCACACTGCATCAGTTTTTACAGAACGCATGAATACATCAACAAGTCTTGACAACTAGCCGTTGTGATTCACTTTTAATTCACTTCAACAGCTAGACTCTTGAAGTCCTTGACACCATTGCACCCAAAAAGGTCAAACTTATCTCTAGCAAACAAAAAGCTCCATGGAGGTTCACTAAATCAGTTACAGATCAGAAAAGAAAATGCAGGACAGCTGAGCGTAACCTACCAGAGACCTTCAGAATGCAGCTGCACACTCACAACTCTGGATTAAATAAGGTGAGACGAGCCTTTTTCTCTGAAGTCATTAGTGATAATATTAACAGTCAATCCCCGTGTTCAGTTTGCTACCATTGACAGGTTAACTAATCTCCCAACACAGTTAGCCCCTGATTCCTTTTCCCAAACAAGTCTAACGAGTTTGCATCCGTTTTCAAAGAGAAAGTCATAAACATCAGATCCACCATGTGTTCGTCCACACCAACACAACTAGACCACTGCTACCGCCACACGGCAACAACCTGGCTAGAATACCAGCTTTCAGTGTGATCAGTGCTAAAACGCTGGACAACATAGTTAAGGCCTTAAACCCATCTACCTGCTGTCTGGACAGCCTGACAACTAACCTCTTCAAAAATGTTTTAGCTGCTTCAAAGCTGATGTACTGGTAATTATTAACTGTTCCTTCATGTCAGGTATTTGTCCTACATCACTGAAAACTGCTGCTGTTAAACCTCTTCTAAAGAAAAGGAAATTAGATCCCTTAGTGATGAATGACTACAGACCAATCTTTGATCTCCCTTTCATTTGGAAAATGGTTGAAAAAGCTGTTATGATCCAGCTGAACAACTTTTTAGAGACAAACAACGTGCTAGACAGCCGTAGCTCAGTAATTGGAAGGTTGCAGGTTCGATCCCGACTCCGCCCAGAGAATGCTGCTGTCGTGTCCTTGGGCAAGACACTTAAACCCCCCCCTTGCCTGCTGGTGGTGGTCGGAGGGACCGGTGGCGTCAGTGCTTGGCAGCCTCGCCTCTGTCAGTGCGTCCCAGGGCAGCTGTGGCTACACTGTAGCTCATCCTCACCAGCGTGTGAAAGTGTGTGTGAATGGGTGAATTACTGATTGTGTTGTGAAGCGCCTTGGGGTTTTTTAGAACCCTTAAGCTTGGTTTATGCTTGACACATTTACTTTCCGCGTGGTGATGCGGCTCGCGGATGGAACGCGCTTCACAACTCGCAGCGTTTATGGTTCATGCAGCTTGTCTCTGCTGTGAGCCAATATTCTCCCAAACTGTAGGGGGCAGCATGGAGCTCTACATGCATCCAACACTACACCATAGTAGAAGTAAAAATGACTGTTGTTTACAACATGGCATTCCAGCATTTTTAACAGCGTCCTCGTCTTTTCCGACAGTGCGGGCTATTTCTCTCCAAGAATTATTAACATGTTCAATTCAATTCAATTCAAGTTTATTTATAAAGCGCCAAATCACAACAAGAGTCGTCTCAAGGCACTTCACATAATAAACATTCCAATTCAGGTCAGTTCATTAAGCCAATCAGAAAAAATGTTTCCTATATAAGGAACCCAACAAATAGCATCAAGTCACTGACTAGTGTCAGTGACTATACAGCAATCCTCATACTAAGCAAGCATAAAGTGACAGTGGAGAGGAAAACTCCCTTTTAACAGGAAGAAACCTCCAGAGGATCCCGGCTCAGTATAAGCAGCCATCCTCCACGACCCACTGGGGATCGAGAAGACAGAGCAG